CTATAGCTGCAACTGACGCTTATATTAATTATTAATATTCTAATTACGTCTTTGTCAGAAAAAGATCAAGGTAGCATCTTCAAATGTATTTTTTTGTTGTCGTTTTGTGCGATTTACAGTCCAAAACTTACATATACTCAATTTACGCTGATGTGAAACAAAGAGAAGCAGCAAATATTCACATTTGTGAAGCTAAAAGCTGCTTGCTAAATGATTAAAAGACACTGATAGTACACTTTCATTTATCTCTGTGTGCTTTTGATGATTTTGTTAAACATTTTTTGCAGCCAAGATGTTTAAAGCTGGATACATTTTCTTGTTTTATCTTTGTATCATACTCAATAAAATATCCTAAAACATGGTAAATTCATAACACGAGAAAAGATTTTATTTTTTAAACCTTTCCTCGCTCTAGTTTTATATTCAGCACAGATACACTGTGTATCACTTCCCCAATCACTAACAGCCTTCCTAATCATGTGTCCTTGGAACGGATGGACTCTAAATTAATTAAATGGATTGGCACACCGAATGCCTCAATTGGATTACCATCTGTAATGCAATCTAACGAGATACTGTCATTTACATGTGATATGCAAATTGCCTAAAAGGTTGATCCAACACAGTGTGCAGTTTTGTGCTCTTGTATGACTGAATCATACTGTTTGTGATTCCTAATCTGCAAAGACATCAGAACCTGCAAGTGGTCTGGTCTGATTTTGTTGAACAAGGAAATGCTTGCAGAGTTATACATTACTTCACACTCCAGCGGGCCTTGAGCCTATGAGCAGCTACACCCTCGTGTCTTTGTTAAAGCTGAACATCTATTTGTGATTGCAGAGCAGATAGTTTCAAACGGTGAGGAAAGAACAAGCTGCAGGGACTGCAGAGAAGGATGTGAGGCAAAGATGTTGTGAGAGGTTAAACTGACATGTGCAAGAAGGTACTCAAAATAATAATCATAATTAAAAAAAACAAAACAGGAGGTTAGCTACTGTAGTTGAGAATTTCAGCATCCTCAAATGCATTTAGAAATCACAGGGAGAAAAAGCTCCTCATAACTTCAGATCTTTCCAGATAATCATCCTACTTAAGTTTTCTTCAGTGTCAACTTAATCCAATTATAATCGTCTGGACATCCACGGCTAGTTAATAGCTATGTCGTCATACTTTCAATGGTGCCAGTTTGTCAAAATGCAAAACAGTTGACTGAGTTTGAGAGACCAGGACCTGGACTTTGTATTACTTCTAACTTTCTCTCTCAGTAAACATTTTACATGGAAATATCACAGAAATAAAACAATAAAATGAGCTTGGGAAATGGCAGCGCACACGTCAAGTGAAGTGCCTCTTGACATGTAGCCTTAACAGGCTGCGTTTCAGTTGTTGCGTGACAAGAGATACGAAACAGTAAAGAATACAAACAGCTATATGGGGAGTTTCTCTGTATTAAAACACAGTATATCTGAGCACATAGTTTTGCTCTATACTGCTCTGCTATAAACACTGGCGTAAAGACACAGCATTGGTTTCAAATCAAACTTAAAGTTTCAACTTGTTTCTGATGTCCTTAGTCTTAAACAGAGCTCTAACCTGTGGTCATATTCAACAATTTCCCTGAGGTTTGCACCAAAGGGATCAATAAAATCCTACTCTATTCTATATCAGCAAAGTTAAGGGTAAAGTTAGCCATATTAGCTAAACAGCATGCTACTGTAAGGATTTTCATGTTGTTGTGATGCCATCAGTGATAACAATATAACAATAATCAACTGGGTCTTCAGTTCCTCCGATGCTGGGTGTGCACCAAGACTCTTGTGTTCACTCTTGTAGGCAACAGCAGAACATTTGGTGAGCTTTGCTTGTGGCTGAGACACTTTAGAGTTAGCAGAAACAGCTCGATAAAGCAAATACCAGCTCATCTTTGAAGGTGACAGGGAGGATTTACAAAAATGTACTAAATTTGAGCAAGACGACTATCGATTCCTCAGCAGATAAACATTCTCACTGGCTTGTAAAGTTGGGAGGCTGTCGAAATAAGAAATGCTAGACGTAAGCGTCTTTGTACCTTAACATGTTTGACTTTACACCTTTAAGTTAATAACAACCACAAAACACAACAAAACTGGATTTTCCCTGCATGGAACCTTTAATACTAATGTTTGACTTCCTAAATCCTCACTAATACAGTCTTGACTTTGTCCACCTCTGCTCTAGAGTCTGAAGTCCACCATCCTGCCTGCTCAAGAACTAAAAACACACCTTTTATTTTTTTGTATCTCAGCAATCCACTTCTGCGTCGCACAGTCTGGTTCATCGACAAATGCATCAGCACCTCCACCCGCATGCCTTCACTCCCATCCAGCACCGATCCTCAACCGTCCTACCAGCTGCGACTGTGATGGGAACTCCGGACAGAAATGTAAGGAGAGGTGTCTATAACTACATTGCAGATATTTACATAGGAGTGTTTTTCCCCTGTTTTTACCAAAGTGCGACTAAACCACCTTTAACCTCTCGCTACAGTTCAACAGGCAGCTTCCAACACAAACACAGAGAACCTCGTTTGCTCCTGTCAGCGCCTTTCAAAGAGCAACACAGAAGTCTGTCAGACAACCAGTGAGTCCTGAATACATGAATCAAAATGGACATGTCAACAAAGTAATTAAGATATTCATTTAATCATTAGAATTTGTCTCTTTTTATACTGTGTAGCTGTATTTTAAAAAATCTGGCAGTTGTGTTTTGTAAGCTGTACTTGATGTCCAATCTAACAACAAATGCAGCAAACAACCAACATTTTACATCAAGAATTCTGTTTGTATATAAAAGTAAAAGCTTGCTTATGATTAATAAATTAGTTTGGATTCAACTAAATATAAGTGAATCACAGAAATTATATATATATTTTTTTTTTCTTCCAGTCACGAGGGAGATGGGGTGCTCTCCATGTCTGTATCGCATGGAAGATCCACTACCACAAACAGCTCAAGGTAATAACAGAAATGCATCCAATTCATATTGGAACTTGTCTGAAATTAAAACCAAATTAGTTGGGATTTCAGATTTTAGGCTGCTATCTTTATGAAGAAATTAATTATTTCAAACTTGCATGCCCTGTTTTTTTTTAACCATTTGCATTTTTAATTGTTTTACTAAAATCTGAAGTGTGTTGATTGAAATTTATCCACATATAATGGCATGTAAAAAAAATAACAGGTTAATTCTCTTTCTGCAATGTTAAGCTGTATTTATTTATTCATTTCTATCTGGTTGCAAAACTAATGTGTGCCTTACAAACTGTATTCAATGCTTTATTTAACAGCAAATGCAGCAAAAATCCACCAGTCCTGAGTATCCTGCCACAAGTTTACCCGACTCGAAGGAATCACACCAAGCCTCCTGCATGCACTCATATTTAGGTGAGTTTAAAGTCAGCAATGTAAGAAATAACTTCAGCAGCAGGACAGTAAATGCATCAGAGTTAATCTGCTCTTCAATTTTTAGACTTCCCATGTGGACACTATTCATATGGAATCACGTATGACAAGAGTGAACCTGGAAAAGTAAACCACAGCAGAAGTCGCCCCTCTGACCTTCACACACCTTCACCGGCGTCTTGCCACAGTCATGCAGCCAAGAGGGAGAAACGTGACTGGGAGAAGCCGGACCTGCCGCCGGACCTGCGCTGGAAGGAGAAACTCGATGAGAGGGAGGAACGCCGGAGCTGCAGAACTGACACAGCAAAGGATTTACCTCTTAGAGAAAAGTCACTGGATACAAAGGTGACTCCGGAGCTTGACGGCAGGCAGGGCGGCTCAGCTGACAGGAAAAGGCAGCTTGAGTGTGAAAGCTTTATTAAAGCGAAGAGGGTGAAGCAGGAAATTCTAGATAACCAGTTTGGTTGTTCTAGGACTTTGCCCTCTGACCCATCTCTACTCATTACAACTCATACACATCCGTCTTCGCACACCGTACAAGTGCAGCACATGAACATCAGTGATTTATCCGTCTTGTATCCCAACAGCAGCAGATGTAACGCCTCTTATCCAATCACTGAGCTGGATCCCTACAAAGCTGCCTCATGGGACCCAATGTGGGACATTCACAGGAGAATGGATCTAAATTTTAGACAACACATCCTCAAAAACTACTCACTGAATACCAGCAAAGTGATCAGGATACCTGTTGCAGCACAGAGGCAACAAGAAGCGTTTCACGGTTACTTCGTACCGCCTCTTTATTTCCCTCCGGTTTTAAGGCAGCAGGAGGCCGTTTACCTGAGAGGGAGGGAGACACTGGTGTCAGGAGACGTTTCATCGCCACTGCAGAGGTCGAATCCTTCATCCTGGCATTCTGGAAACATCCTACCAGGGACTCTGAGTCTCAAGGGACTGTCTGATAAAAAAGGAGAGCAGATATTCCCATAACAACAATCACTGCATGACTACAGACTTCATCATCAATTCAGTGGTGCTCCATGGTGCCCCAGATGTGAAACACCAGTGACTGTGGAAAGAATTGGTTGTATTGCTAAGAAAAGGTGCACAAGAATAGCTTTAAGCAGGCAAAGACAATTGTAAATAAAGCATGTTGGTCTGAAAACGTGACTCCTTTCTTACGATGTGATTCCCCTGTGAGACTGGTTATGTGATTAAACATGTTCACATTCATGTTTTTGCTCATTTTTGGAATGAAGCTCAGAATTTGTCATGAGAAAGTCTATTTACACCAAGTGGAATGTGAACTAACCAGGTGGTACCAGTGCCCATGTTTGGAGTGAGACAAACGTTGTTCTGTGATGTACGTTCACCATTTTAGCACAGTTAAGGCTGACAGGACAGTTGTTGTTAAACAGATTAAAGTCTTGAGTTGGACGAAAATCAGGGCAATTCCTCTTTAGTTAATCAAATATTTAACTCTGGACCAAAGTGGCGGGCTAATCATCAACATTCGCTACAAGCTAGACCATAAGAAAACAACAAATGAACAAGAAAATCTTCATTTTGTATAAAAAAAAAAGTGTATTTAAAATGTGTAACAATAAAGTTAAACAACATTCGAGGCTGCAACAAAAATAACATCCTCTGAAATTCTCTGTGGGGCAACATTCTGGAAGCATCCCCCAAAGCAGAGCAGTGCATGGAGAGCAACGTTTCATAGAACTAACTTTGCAGTGCTTTTAACTATTTTCCATTCATATAAGCTTTGTCAAAATATCCATCTTTGTTTCACAGGCGATCTCATAAGTACGAGACGTTAAGAGCTGCTATAATGAAAGTTTGGTCTTTAAAACCACTGTAGCGATGACCTTCTCGATGTAGTGTGAAGAGCACTGCAGAGCATGAGGAAGCTTAACGTCTCCACTGGTGGCTCCACAGCAAAATATTAAAAACAGACAAAACAAATAGAATTGCATAACAGCTACATGAGAGTCAACGCTGAACATCTGTGATCCGACCCGGACAATCACACCACATCCATGCCGAGGCCCCTCGCAACTTCCGTCAGGGCCTGAACAGCTCCAGAAGTCCCGCTAACATCACAGTTGTCCTGCGATAGTCCACCAGGCTCCTCCTCAATGTCAGGAATGGTGCTCATCACGCAGTAGACGGGCGAGTCGCTGCCTCGGGGGCTGGGCTGAGACGACATGTCCTCGGCTCCAGAGAGGTCCGAGGAGTACGAGGAGGAGGAGCTTGAGGAGGGTGAGGAGGATCCTGTCGGAGAGCTTCGGCCGCTCTCCGGTGGGACGTCGCCTCTTTTGTTCCGGCTGCTGCTTCTCAAACTCTTTCGAAGGCTCTGTGGCTTTTTGGCCATGTTTTTCATGATCTCCTTGGTCACTTCAACAGTCTCAAAACGCACCATGTTGACTTTTAGGAAGCCGTCTACATCCTTCCTGTATCTGTGAGGAAAGCACACGGCACAACCACAGATAAAATGCTTATTTTAGTCTTTATTTATCTCAGAATTACCTGAATTACATTTGATGCATCTTGAGGGTTGAAGTTGTTTCAGTAGAAAAATGTCTTACCTAAAGCGGGAATGTCCAGAAGGCCATTTGAGCTCATGCTTCTTACGGAGGTGGAGTGTGAGAGTGTAACACCAAGAAAACACTTTATCACAGATGTGACATTTATATTTAGACATCCCTCCAACCTGTGGGTAAACAACATTAAGAAGAAAGCATCATTGTAACTCAGCATATCTGAGTAGTTTGTTATGATGACTGAAATAGATTTTTATCGTTGAACCAACAAACCTCATGGACCCTCTTGAAGTGGTGGCTCATGGTTTGGAATGTGTGACAAGAGTAATCACAACCCTCCACCGTACAGTGGTACACAGTGCCTTCGTTGTGAACTTCTGTGTGCTTTTGGAGATCACGTTGGTTCTTAAATCTATTTTTGAAACAACAAGATGAAACCTATGAAAAACTGATTTGATTTGATTTGATTTGATTTTTACAACAGCACTAATTTAATGTGATACAAACATGGGTTTGGTGGCATGTGTGGACAGCTCTGACTGTTTGCCATTTCTTTTTAGTTTGTATTCATTTTCTGTAACACACTAAAACGTGCCATGGATGTTCTACATTTCAGAACTGATTGAAATAGCACCAGAAACAAATGAAAACTGCTGCTATGGAATTAATTTGCTTCTAAACATTTTTTCCACTGTTTTGTAAATGATAAGGTAACAATAAGAAGCATTACCATAAAGGCTTTAGTTTTGATACTCATACAGTTAAGCTGAAGTTTCACTCGATATCAAGCTGATATAACAAAGACTTTAACTGAAAATGTGCATTTAAAAGATCCAAAGAGGACGCAGAACTCTGAAACTAACAGCTGTTCATGAATACGAGTGTTACATGCAACCATAACAATAATAATACGTTTTCCATCTCTTCATTTTTATCCCTTTTGTACAGGAATTTTCAACTCTGAAATGTTACACAATTAAACTTTACTTTCTTACAAACAGGTAAAGAACGATGTCGTTACGATGCAGCAATTTAAAGACAAATGTTTTATTGTAATAACTGAAACTTGATGTTGCCAGATGAACAAGGAGCCATCATTTAGAGGTGATTGTACATATTTGACAAGATTCTGACAAAGACCAGACTTTCCCAAAATGCTGTTGTTGTCAACTGAATATCTGATTGGATGTTTTGCAGACCTACCTTTTGTCACAGAAGTCACAAGGGAAGGGACGCTCATCACAGTGACGGAATCTGATGTGGATCTTCAGAGCTGCCAAAGTGGTGCAGGTCATGTCACAGAAGGGACACTTGACCTGATTCACTGTGGGTAAAAGACAATAAAGAATTAAATATAATACCTGCCTAATAGCTCACTGACAAGCATATGATCAACTCCAGTCCCCCAGTGATCCACAAAGCATCTTTTTAACTACAGAGACTTGCACTAATTCTTGCTTTTTAAGAAGTTATATGAATTAGCATGTCAAAAAGAATTTACACTTTCGAGCTGATATTTGGTCGTCAAAAAGCACGACTCCCTTCAATGTAGACAAGAAGTGTATGCTTAGGAAACTGTCAATTTAAACTTCTGCTACTCCATGGCAACTGAAAATTAATCTGCTGATGAAGGTCACCTGTTGTGATGGGCTGTCCTTTAATAATCCCAAAAATAAATAGACATAAGAACAATCTTGACCAAGACAGAAACTATATACATGTTAAACATGTACCAGGTTCACATCTACTTTACCATGATTAAATGCTATTGTTACACCTGGGTAAGACAACATTTCAAATGTTAACTGGCCACATACTGTCACAAATTTAACAACACTCCTTTAATAAATCTGATCAACCCTAAAACTGCAAAATAAATATTATTTGGTATTAATACTTAAGGTGGCATTTACCATGCTGACGGATGTGATCCCTCAAAAGTCTCTCGCTGGAAAAGGCTTTGCCGCAATGTTCACATACCAGCGATTCTGTTCGAATAAATGTACAGAAATCAGCGATAATGCAACATATTTAGAACATCAACATCCTAGAATTGTTTGGTCTGTCTCACCTATTGGCTCGGCCTGTCTGTGGAGGTGGTCAAACAACTTTGTGTTACTGGAGAACATGCTGCCACATGTAGGACAGGCCACAAGTCTCTCCTGAGTGTGGCTCCGCAGGTGCTCTCTCAAACGGTACCTGATCTTGAAGAAGGCATCGCAGCCTGTGACAGAAACATGAAACATCGCACTAAGCCAGAGCCGGTAAAGTAACATAAACATCTCTTTCACCTCCGCTCACTCAGTCGTACCTGCCCAGTGGCAGAAGAGCGCCTGCTGCTGCTGTGAGAGAGACTGTGGCTCAGCACTTTCTACGTGATTGTCCACATGTCGATAGAACCACTCAGGGTTATTAAATGTACTCTGCAGGAAGACAAAAATATAAACACCCTGTTAAACAGTTGTGCTGTCATCTAATGACGAGTGAATAATTGAAAATAAAAGTACTTACATCACAATGCTCCCATTGGCAAGCGTACCCATCCGATCCTTCAGGGACCAGGTTGTTGCTGTGCAGGCCTTGGTTGCAGCTCGGCAGGTCAGGACGAGACTTGAGCAGCTGTGACCCAATAAACTTGAGCTTACCATGGTAGTTGTGGAAGTAAGCGTGAACCTCCAGCTCTGAAGGGCTACCCATGGACAGAAATTCACATCCATTCCAGAGACAAGCATACTCATCTAAACACAGGGAGAAAGAATAAATAATTACCGCAGTGTTACTACAAATTGTTCGGAGACGGCACTGATGTTGGACTGCTTATGGTTTGGTGATTAAGCAAAAGATTCAGTTTAGTTGGAGGTGGTGCAATCAACGTTTATGGCATTGTGTTGGCAGGTGTTTCAACTATTTTGTGCATTCTATTTAGATCATTGAAGGTAAAGTAAATGACACTCCTTTATAAGTCGTAATATAATTCAACAGTAGTGCAAATTACATCCTTGGAAAGTATTAGCAGGTGTACCAAATTAACTGGTCGTTGATTGTAATTCTGATTATGCATATTGGACTGAAGGCCAACATGTACACAGGTGTCCCCCTGACTTACCCAGCTCCTCCAGGGCATCTTTGTCTCCCAGATAGTCCCTCAGATGCAGATACATGTGGTCGCTCAGCTCCTCCATGGTGCGGCCCGTGAAGTCGCATGAAGCCCACTCACAATCCACCTCGAAGTTGTCTAACCTCTTGGTGGTCATCATAATGGTGGTTACTGTGTGCTCCTGCTGCACACTCCTAAACCCGACCAGCTACGCGGACACACAAACACACCGTTTAACAAGCAGAAAGAGCTAAAGTTCGAGATACGACATCTTGACTAAAAGGCAGTTTCACGAGTTAGCAAACGATGCTATCTAGATGGGACTGGAATACAGATTAGTTTATGTCTTAACGGTCGTGGGCTAAAGTTAGCTGTAAAGTGATCCTTAATCACCTCAAGTTAGCTGGAAAACAGATATGATATAGATATATATTTAAATTCAGACTGCTTACTAGTTAGCCAAACCATTGACTAGCTAAAAGCAGATTAACACCTGCTTAAGGAATAGTGTTTGCATAAAGTTGGTATTTTGGCTAACAGTAGCTGCCGCTCGACCTGTCACCGGTTTTCACTCTTTGCCGGACTTTTTCTTGACCTGACAAACCTCCGACACTTTAACGAGGAATTAGTAAACACACACCAATGTTTCAAACACTTGAATTACAGGCGATTTTCTACATGTTTCTTACAGATACTGATGCCACTTACTGCAGCAGTTCTTAGCCGATTCTTCTTCTTCCCTCCTCTCTGCTCGTTTGCTTTTGTTTATTTCCTGTCAGTCAGCGCCACTTGTTCTTCTTCGTCGGTTGTTTAAAAAGCGTTGACGAACAGGATGAACACATCGCCGCCTATCGTCCCGGAGTCCTCCACAGGAACAAAGACTGCAGGGAGGTTGACTCAGGAAAACAGAAAAATTCAAAATATTTATCAGTTTTAGAGAATAGACGAAAAATACAGTGACAGTATTGAGTTATAATGAATACAGTAAAGTACAGGTGGTGGCCGAAGTATCCGCATCCGTTATTCACTTCAATTCAAATAACTTTATTTAT